CACCTCTCCTCTTCACTCACCATATGAACTGACAGCTTTTAAATAAGCATTTTTATCAATAATGTAAGTCTTGCTCTGACCCTCACTGCCAGCAGCCAAAGCCAGTTTACTTGGATGTCCGAAACCCCACTCTGCATTTTCCATTATACAGAAAATGCAGATAATTTTTATACCAAACACTTTTGGGAGTCAATTTGTCCTCAGTGCAAGTTAGGAAAGGTTGAACCTATTATTTTTGGTTTTTGTCAGTTTCTCATTTTTCTAATCTTAAACTCAGTCCTTGACATTTCCAGATCATTTTGCCACATATGCATGCGCGCGCGCGCACACACACACACACACACACACAGTGCTCCTGAAAATTCACCAGCAATTTCACGTGAATTTCTCATTTTTTTTCCATGTGAATTTCTCAAATTTTTTTATGTGAATTTCTCATAACATACACACACATGCAATTTGCCCCATCGTTATCACTATTTTTTTCCACAAAGCATTGTTCCCTATCACAATGCGATTTTGTATATTATTTTCATTCAGTAAGTATTTTTATGCACACTTTATTCTAGAGTGTGCATTCTTGTACACATTACTTGGCCAGAGAACTTTATTGTAAAATTCAAAGAAGTGCAAATTACAAAGGATGGCGGGGTTTCAGTTTGTGCATTGTTTCAGAAAGTGCAGATTTGGTAGGTTGAATGTGAATGGAATCAAATTCCTCCCTCATCCTGATGCAAGACTCATTCAACACACAGAAAAGAAGAAGAAAAGGAGCCGGCTGAGCTGCTAAAAAGCCAACCAAGACCAGTGCTTCAGCCCTCCGTTATGTTGCTGCATTATCCAATGTTTCTCCTCACACGTTTCCTAGTTTTAAAGGGCGGGAATATGGAAATCAATGATGATCATGCAAATGGAGTGAATGAATCACTCAGTTGCTTACAGCTAAAAGCAACAAATGTCTTCCTCCCCTCCCTGCTCCACCTTTGCAGAAATTCTCCAGTGCCTTCAGCGAGACACTCTCCCTGCTAATGTACGCATCCTGGAGATTTACAAGAACGTGTTGGCTGAGTCACTGCAGGATTTGCCTGTCACTAAAGTGATATGGGTATAAAATCAAATAACAGATTGATGCCATCTAATGCAATTGTGTCAAGGAAGCTGGCCGCATAAGCCCAGAGACCCGCTCTCAGAGGAGAAGTAAAAGGTTCTGTGGGATTTGCAACCCAATCCTATGAGCCACTGGACTAAGGCGGCAGCTCATATAGGATCAAGCGCTAAGCTCCCAGTGCAAAAGAAATGCCCTTGGGCTGATCCCACTAGTGCAGCAGCATCCCTTGGCATCCATCACTTTCCACCTGGCCCTTGCTTCATGCTGCCAAATGGTACTGGGGGGAAGACAGAGCCCCTCACCTTTCTGTCTGGCATGCTATGGTCTCTCCCGGTCTGTAGGAGGTCTAGGGCTGGGACAATCGTGTGCTGCCCAATTCCACAATTAAGTATGGACTACAAGGGATGTGTGTTGGGGGGAATCCCTCAATCTCTTAATGAAAGAGCAAGATAAAAATAGGACAGAGAGTTTCTGCTAGGAATAGGACTGGTTTGTTTGCTTTTTTAAAAAAATTGTGGCCATTTCCAAACATTGCTGCTCGTTCATGCAAGTTTCGCACAGCGTCTGCATGATGTCGTCCTCATCAAAATTCAATCCCATATTACTTCTCCATTTAGTCTACAGTTCCTTTGGTCCAGCAGCCAACTTGAAAAATATGTCATAATTGCTTTTAGCTGGTTGCTTGATTTTATTGCTTTTAGTGATGTTTAACTGCCTTGGCTTTATAGTTTTGTTTATTTTGCACTTTGCTTTATTGTGTTTTATTACCTTTTGCTGGATTGTATTCATACAGTGAAACTAGAAGGGGCTACTCTTCCTTTTTGATTTGGTCGAGAACATTAAGAGACACACTGGCCTTGGAACTATAAGCACTTCTCTTGCTGGGTACAAAAACATTAAGCACGCTTTCCCCGTGGTGTTTTGAAGGCACGGTGAGTCAGAGGTTCCCCACCCCTGAACTAGATACTCTAGCCACCAAATCCAACCTGCCTTTTCTGGACTTGGTTTGACCGACAAGTGAAGGAAGTCCCTAAGCCATCTCAGCCTCTAGCAGAGGTGCAGTTTCCCGACAGACCAAATCACAACCACCTTGTTTATTTTATACTGATTAAAATTACAGTCATTGTGAGAGCCCAGTGCTGCCTACTATGAATACACTGCTTATTATAATTCAAAGGGGTGTGTGTCACTGTCGTTCTTTTAAGACTCATTAATCATCCATAGCTGGCTGCACATCTTAGAGCCATATGGGACAACCAGAGGCGTAAGCATATGATGGCTGATTATGGCTGAGGATAGTTAAAGGCACACTTATGCCACACTTTGTCAAGAAGGATGATGGGAGCCTACTGCTTGGAGGGCAATAGGATCCTAGGCATTATTACCCTCCGGGCACCAAACTCCTGGACATCCCCACCATCCTGTCTGATTTGTGATTGCTGCAGCTAGCAGGCTTAGTCTTCCTAGGAGACACCACCTCCGGTGCTCAGCACGAGCAAGACAACCCCCGAGAGGCTGAGTTTGCATGCCAAGATATGACTGGAAAAGACGGCAAAGGACTGTGCTCTGAATTTTTCTCAGAAGAAGAGGCCGCGCCATGCCCACAGGACCTCTCCATTGCCCCATGGCTCTGCAGCCATCGTTATGCAACACATCAGGCTCTCCTCTCCGCTTTGCATTGTGCTCCGGGGTCACATGCAGACTCTTCCCAGAGCCCAGCTGACCTACTTCCAGCCAATCCCATCGTCAGGATTAGACAAGGAGTTCCCCTTGACCAGGCTCCAGGGATCCCCCTAGAGAGACGCAAGTCAGGAAATCAAGGAGTAAAAAGAAGATGCTGAATAAGGCTTGTCTCAAATGTTCTGGGAAATATGAAGGTCAGGTCCACTGTTTGTGTCTGTTTAGAGCAGCATAGGAGGCACAGAGGAGAGATGTTTCTGAAAACGTGTCCAAAAATTGAGACGCAGCAGCCTGGGAAGCTCACATTTGTTCTGTGTTTTCAGACATTTGGTTCCCCTCCATGTCAGTAGTGGAAACACAAGAATTTGCCTTTTGCAGTTGAAGCGAAGGGACTCTTAGCCATTGAGCATGTCTCAGGAACTCAGCTCTGGAGAGCAAATCCAATCATCTTGCTCTTTTGGAAGTTTTCCAACCTGCTCTATGCATTCTGAAGCTTACAATCAGGTCATCTCTGCTACTGAACTGCAGCAACATTTAAGAGGTTGCACGCCTAGTGCAGATCAACTGGCCAAATGCTTAGAATCAAGGCACTCTTCACAGTACTGCCCTCCTTTGTGCCAGGCTGTAAGATTAAAACACATTTCCAGGGCTGCTCTGCATGCCTTGGCTTGACTGTGTGGGGCAGACATATGGGACAGAGGGACGACTGAAATGCAGCTGGCAAACTGACTTAATACTTAAGCTCCTGGCCTTCAGGGGCTGCTTCATACGCTCTGGGTCTTAGGAGCCTTTTAGTGTGGGCTTTTGAATAGTCAGATGGTTGGATGTGTGGCAGCTCCATGTCAATTTCACTCTGGAGACAGGCCTTTATTAAAGTCTGGGAAGCAGATGGCCAGTGCAGGTGTGGGGAGGCAAAAGCTTGACATGAAACTGACAAGCACCTAACCTTGCAAAAGTGGCGTGTCCATGGATCTTTCAAAGTCTACAAAAAGGATCGTCTGTGGCAGGACTGGCAGGCCTCATTAAGTCCCTGCCAGGGCTCAGTTTCTGAGGAGAGAGGTGCCAAATTCAAGCCTTCCATCTGCCTTCCTCCGTGTTCCTAAATTGATTGTGACAGGCTGCAGTTGCTCAGGGGAAAACTCTGCACATGCTCTGAGAAATTTTTCTTTACCATTTCTTCACATATTTCAGGGTTCAGATGTGGCACTGAAAACAGATTCTGGAGCTGAATCTGTGCCCCAGCATGAGCTGAACTCCATTTAAATTCAGTGGGTGGTATTCAACTAAATTTTATTCAGAACAGACCCATTCCAATGAATGACTGCATTAGGACCATTAATTTAAAACTTAGTTGAATGCCACCCAGTGGCTGCATGCCTTAGGGGAAATGAATTCATTTTCTCTCTCTCTCTTTCTTAAAAAAAAGGACTTTAAAAGTAATCTTCACTTATTCATGTTAAAGGAAGACCCAGCACAGTTTTAATCCACCTGGCTTGCTGTTTACATTAACACAACGCTTCTGTTCTGCCATTCACTTAGACCCTTCCAACACCCTGGAGTGTCAACACTTTAATTATCTCACTCCACAAATCCTGTGGGTCCTGGAATGCTTGCCCTGGGCTCCCAAGTTTCTCTTTGCAGTCACAGCCTTCATCCACCATGATTTCCTTTTGCCTGCTAGCACATTGCTGCATGGCTAACAGCTGTGCAGGATTTGTTGCCACAGCAACAGAGAGAGGCAGGGTGTGGAACCTGGTGACAGAGCATTCTCTCAGGTAGATGGATGGAGAGGAGCATCTGAGAAATGAGCTCATGTCACCTGGAGGGCAGGTAGGGTAATTGATGGCTATTGTAGCCACAGAGATAGTCGATCAGCATTGCTGAAATGCCTGGGACTTGGGAGAGGAGATACATACCTAGGAAGCTGCCTTACAGTGAGTCAGATCACTGATCCACCCAGTTCAGTATTGTCTGCACTTGATTGGCAGCAGCTCTCTGGGATCGGAGACAGGTCTTCAGGATTTGGGGCTTTAACATTTCAACAACACTCTGTGCGACACCAAAATCCGGTGCCCCCCCTCCATTGTTTGTCATTGTTGCAGCGCCTGCTGTGACACCCTCTCAGCTTGGCACTCAGTGCAGGCAAACCAGCCGTGCTCCTCTAAATACACCTCTGCAGGGATGTCAGACAGGGAATACTCCTAGCCCTACATGGAGATGCTGGGGCTCAAACTTAGGACCTTCTGCATGCAAAGCAGATGCTCTAGCTCTGAGGTACAGCTCCTTCTATTCTTCAGGAGCACTTGCAGGTGATCAGGAGTGATAGAATCGAAATCCCAAGAAGAGAGTATTCTGTTGCAGGCTGGGAGCACAGATTGGGCACTTGATGGACAAAGCGCCTGGCTATTTTTGCCTAATTTATTTATGCACTTCAAGAGGATACCATAATACCATTTATACTGATCTGTGATGTGATCATATCTGGAATTCTGTGCACAGTTCTAGCTGCTGCATGTCAGAAAGGATATTGTAGATGTGGAAAAGGTTCAGATAAAGGCCACATACCCCAAAACGACCAAGGGACTGGAGCAGCTTCCCTATCAGGAAAGATCTGGGACTTTTTAGTTTAGGAAAAAGGCAAGAAAGTAGGTTAATAAAATTATGCATAGTGGGGAGACTGTCGATAGAAGATATCTCCCAGCCTCATACTATAAGAACCTGCGATCATCCAGTGAAGCTAAACATTGGAAGATTCAAGACAGATGAAACAAAGGACTTCTTCACACAGCACATAGTTAAACGATGGAATTTGCTCCTTCATTGCATAGTGATGGCTATCAACTTAAGCGGTAGGCAAATTCAGGGAGGATGAACCTGTCCTTGGCTGCTTCTCATGACGGGGATCTGAGGCGGCATGACTCTAAATACCAGTTGCTGGAGAATAACAGTAGGAGTGAGCGATGGCACTCATAGCCTGATTATGGGCTTCCCAAAGGCATCTGGTTGGCTGCTATGGGAAACAGGATGGTGGGCTCGATAGGTCTTTGGTCTGACTCAGCAGCGCTCTTCTGATATGGGTCTGGCGCTTTATCAGAAGCTGGGGAGTTCTGTGCTTACCTAAAATGTGTTGGTGCAAATGGAGACATTTGCCTGAAATGGCTTCATTTGTCTACTTCATTTTGATTCAACAAACATTCTTTTTCCAGAAATGAGGAAAGTTTCTAATATAATTTGCTGCTGACTGAGGAAAGAAGGTTGGGATTCACTGGCCAGTCAAGAGGGGTTCAACCTTGGCATTAACAGCACCACACGCTAACCAACTGAGCTATTTACAACGGATACTGCATTCCTCATACCTTTTCAGCGTGTTTTCCTCTGTCATCATGAGGAATGGAAACAAACTTTCAGAAAACCCCCAATGATACTTAGATCTGGAGGATGGCACTGCAGCCAACAGATTATAAATGAAAACGCACATTCCATGCTATGCAATTCAGACACAGCCGTGCCAATTTTTAGCACTCCCCACTCCAGTTATATATAGACGTCTATATTTAGCATCCTCCAGGCTTGCCTATATAATCGTAATGCACAGTTGCTGATTCTCCTCCTGTCACTCAGATTCTGAAGTGCAACATACACCCTTCCAGAAAACCAGTCCCTTACAACAGGGCTGGTGAACTTGTGGCCCTTCAGATATTTCTGGACTCCAGCTCCTATCATCCCCAGCCAGCATGACCAATGGTCAAGGAGGATGGGAGTTGTAGTCCAGCATCACTTGGAGAGCCAGCAGTCTTTTACCCCAGCTTTACACTGATGACATGATTACAATTTCTATTTTACTTTTGGGGTAAAATCAGCGTCAGAGCCTAGACAGTGCCAGGAACAAAAACAAACAAAGAAAAACAAAACGCCAAACCACCTGACCTGATAGCCCTTTCTTAGATCATTCAGTAGTTATCCATGTATCCAGTACCATTTTTCTAGAAAAAGAGGAGCCAGAACTTACTATGGACACCTTTCTTGTTCTTTTATAACGGCAATGGTGCCCACCTGAGAGGGGCCAGAACTGAGTTCCGGCTGGGGAAAAAGCCCTGCATGTAATTCCTGTGTAATGGGAAGTGTCACAAGTCTGAGCGGCACCATGTACCTTTCCTTAAGCCAGAAAGGGAAAAAAATAATGTCCTGTGTATCTCTTGCTAACACAAAGCTCAGCTTCCTTGACATCACAACAACAGTACCATTGGTGTTACAGAAAAGGCCCTGTCCGCACTGAACTCACCTCCAGGACTCTGCCACTGATGTAACGGTTGCAGGTCTCACATTTAATGCCAAATTGGGCATGGTAGTCAGATTCACAGTATGGAATGCCATCCCTGTGGGAAAAGATTCAGGCTATGAGGCTTAGAAGAGGGGAAAGGATAGTCAAGAATCTCCCCCCACCCCTCAGCAGAATTTCTATTGTATGATGCTGAAATGTGACCTGTGCTCAAGGGAAGGGCACCAAGGGGGAAAACAGCCTGCCAGGAGCTTATTTTGGTGTCTAGTCAGAAACTCTAGTTAAGTTCACAAAGGCTGCTTTACGTTATTGGGGTTGAGAAGGCTCCTTTCCCGATCTCAGACTTTCCACTCCTTGCCTCTTCTCCTCTCACTCCCCATGCTGTAGGAAATCTTTCCACCACAACTCTGCCTCCTGTTCATTGTTGCATTGTACAGGACAGGGAAGGGAAGGGTTATATGGAAGGTTTCAGCTTTGTGCCTCAGCGCAGTTCCCAGGAGGCAGCAGGAGGGCTGTTTCTAGGGCACAAAGGTGCCCTGTGGCAAGGGAGATGCCCACACCAAAGAGGCGTGTGAGTCTAGACTCCTGCTTTTATTGCTCTCCTCTCAAAAGTTTTTCAGGGACTTAGGTTGTTTCCCTGTTCCCGTGGTCTCTTAGAACACCAGTTGTTCTAAGACACCAGTCACTCCTGGTGGTAGGATAAAGCCTTATGGGACAGCTAGATTTTGAACTGGAGAGTCATTGCATAAGGGTACACGGAACTACTATTGCCTGCTAATCTGAATCTGCACCTAACCTCCTTGGACCCAGTTCAGAGACCAATGCAAGCATGGAGTTTTTTATGTAGCAGGGTTTGCATCAGGCATTGGTTGAGCAGTGAATGAGCTCTTCGGGGGAACACTGTCCTAGCCACCTGCTCTCAGCCACGTTAGACTGATTCAGAAATACACACAACGGGTGAATTTGGATGACCGTATATTGGCTTAATAAGCCAAGATCAGAACAAGCCTGCTGGCTGTGCACACACTCCCTTCAATCCTCCCTCTGCCATGGCAGCAAACAAACCAGGAAGATTTCCACTAGCTATAGTTTCCTTCTTCATACAAACTCGGAAACTATGGTTAACTGGTTTAGAACAAGGCAGGATATTCAGCCAAGTGTCATCATCTTAACACCTATAAATAAAAAAATCTGTGGTGTGATTGCTACTCTATACACTTCTAGTTATGAAATCTGAAAAAGGATATTGTACAAAGCAACCCTACCATTAACACTTGTCAGGGGTTCAGGGACAGAGGCACAGGGTAGGCAGGAGATGGAGAGCGATGGGGATGAGTCCCAGGACAGCGAGGAAGAGGATGACAATGACTCAAGAGATTCCATGAGTCTTTCCAGCGAATCAGAGGATTCCCAGAAGGGGGCGCCGGTAGTCAAGGCCAGGGGAGCCCCAGGGGAACGTGTCAGGAGCAGGGGTCCAGCGGTGGATCCCAAAGTGGCAGCTGGGCGTCAGGACCAGCCTCCCCGCCAGAGTGCAGCGAAGGGGGTGGAGGTTTCAGTGTATCAGGGGAAGCAGCTCCGGCAGCAGAGAAGGGAGGGAGGTCGGAGCAAGCCACCCCTCCCGGAAGGGGAGGGAGTAGTGAAGGGAGTAGTGTAGCTGTCAAAAGGAAGGTTAGAGGTTGGGCGCGCGCGCCAAGTTCAAATGTAGAGGCGCGCGGAAGTACAGGGAGCCCGGAGGAGGGGCCAGGTCCCAAAGCCCGCAGGAGGGGGCAAGAGCAGTCTGGGGATTCCGCGTCAGAGGAATCCAGGAGGGGCGAAACCCCAGCGGGCAGGAAGACTCTGCGGAAAAGGAAAGAGAGAAAGAGGTGGAGCAGCGCAAGCCTCTTAAACTGGTGCAGGGGAGGGACTGACTCAGAGGGGACTTCGGCGGTCTAAGCGTAACAGACGTAGGGCTGCGCGCCTCGGATGTGAAGCAAACAATGAACTGCAATAAACACTTTTGTATATAAGAAGAGATAGGCGTTGGTCTTTTGTGAGCTGAGACTTGAGGCAGCCCTGACAACACTGAAGAGTGTTGGGCTTTTCTGTTAAAAGGTGGAGGGAACCTGGAAATGTACGTTGTTGGAGAGCTCTTCTTGCTCTTAATTACAAGCCACGATTTACTATTCTGTCATGTTCTGAAGACATTAACTGCAGTTTCCTCGTTTGGGCAAAATGAGAAGTTATGGTTAATGAAAGACTTCCAGATCTGTTTGCTCACTCTTGCAAAGAGGGGCTATGATACAGAGACGTGATAATGATCTTAATGCAGTCTATGCACAATGAAGAAGTAACCGAGTGCAGTGGCCATCCAAAAGCAAGAAAGAACTGTGACCATGCTTAGCCCAATGGAAAGCAGGCCCCTGACTCATGCTTGAGCTCTGACATCATAATCAGAGGGGAAAGCATGAGGAGTTTTGATAAAGGAGACTAAAGGAAGCAGGCAGGCAGGCATTAAATGTCTGTAGACTTTTCTTTGAGGAGTGTTAAGTCTGACAAAACCTGCTTCACACATTACGCTTTCTACACAGTCATTCATATTTGTTTAGGGAAGGAAGGGGGAGGGAACTTGTAAAATATAATGGTTGAATTGCTATGTGACTATTATTTTATTTTATTTTATTGGCCTGCTGCATGTATACTGGGAATCAAACTCAGCACTCAGAAAGACATCCACATGTTGTGCTAGCACAAGGATTTGTCTTTGTGTGAAAGGATTCAGAAGATCCTTTACCCTATCATACCTAGATTACTCCAGGGCTAAAAGTGTCCATTGATTAACCAGTGTGTATTGAGTAATTAAATCACTAACTGCACAGTAAAAATGTAATGTGGCTTTTAAATGGGATTCTAGCAGACACTGTCCAGTGACTTTCAGTACTGATGGCAGTTTTACAAACAATTATCTTGAGGGAATTTAAGATAGCTTTACTGCCAATGAAAGTAATTTCTCTGCATTACTCAGTCAA